CCCCCACCCAACTTTTCTGAAAGTACCCCACCCCTCTCTCCCCTCCCCCAACCAGGATTACCCTGTGACCTGATAGACTAGCATCCCACCGACGAGGGACAGGCAATACTCCTTAACACTTAATGCTTAGCTTTAGCTCACCTGCCTACTCTTTATATACAGTATGTTGGCAGACAAGCCTTGATTGTATGTTCCTGCAATAGCATGTTTACATGTCAATGGGGTATCAACAATCCACACAATTTGGGTGACTAAATGAAACTTTATTGTAAACTCTGCCAAAATTTCAATTTTTGCACTCACAATTGACAGCAATCAAGTGATAGTCAAATGTTTCATGTAGCTATGCTATGAAACTCTCATCTCAGTGAATCAGTGAGAGGCAACTTACACAGCAGTTTCTCTTGGCTCTTGTTTTAGCATCTGAAGGCACTGATATAAGCCATGACACAGGTAATGAGCCACACACATCTTGCTTCAACCCTTTGAAGCTTAGTTAACAAATAAGCCATGTGTTACTGTCAATAAACATGGGATTTTGAGAACACTTATGATATACAGCAAGTACTGGTAGTACTTGCAAATGTGTTTACATTTTTCTCGAGTGTTCCCAAATGCTCATGCATTTTCTACCAGTATGTGACTGAGGCACAATGAGGTTAACCCTACTGGGAGCACCAACCCACAAGACATGGCCAGACCATAGCACGGGAACTCCGTGAACTCTGTGTCCTACTCTGACAAAAATATATGAAGCAAGACTTGCCTCAAAATTTTGCTGCGGTCAATCAGTTGACCATGGAGGCCTGGGAGAAAGCCATACAGGAATTAGGCAAATGCAAGACCTGGTTTTCAAATTTAGATTCAAGTCAAATGAATGATTGATATTTGAGACTGAATTTTACTTACACGAGGCTGCTGGAAATGTGGCACAGTTTTTGTATCTTATGCAACACCTACCAAATTTTTATTGTTAAAACTAAGACTACACAATCGCAAAACACGTTCATGTTTTTGCATTCAATTTTATTAAATACAAAGGTGTTCTAGACATGATAAGTTTAAAAATGTGTTATTTATGATTCTTGTAGTTTGCTTTTCACATTGTTGGCACTCCACCATATCAACAATGCTGCTACAACGGCAATGAACTCAGTTTGAACGTAAAGTCCCTCACGACCAGCACCCTGGAAATAAAATGATTAATGTCAAACACAATACTGTGACAAAAAAAAAAAAAAAAAAGAAAATACTATTATTTTGCATCTGGGCCGCCAGCACCAGATTAAGATTGACGGCTTTTGCCCAGGGAAAATGTTAACTGAATAGCAAAACAGTTTCGTATTTCAAT